TTTGTCCCTCACTACCTGGGCTCGAACCCGGGACTCCGGCAACATGCCAGCTGAGCTAAAAGAGAACTGCTTTAGTCCGGGTGGTTGTTATACGCAGGGCCGTATTCGTTACAGACAGTTACTTGTTCTTTACAAAAACGTTAACAAAAAAGCACAAAGTGTTGAAATACAGTATTGCTTTCCTGTTGTTTTCAGCAGTGTGGGAAAGGATTTGGCATGAGATGCCTCCAGGATTGTTTTATTGATCTACAAGCTTGTTTGTGACAAACACCCCCCCAATATTTCCTTCATATTTTTTTCTGTAATAAGACAAGTCGTTTTGGCCTCAAGGGAGGATCGTGCCAAATCAAATCTCTTCCTCGCCTTTTCCCTCCAGCTGTCACTGGCAGTGCCAGTACAGTATGTTGGGTTTACAGTGCTGTTGTTTTACATTTCGAGGTTGCGATAACAACACGGATGCTACTGTCGCACCTGAGTGGGATCCGTCACTACGAGAAGGACGCAAAGAAAGTGAAGGAGGAAAAAGAGAAGGCGAACCGAGCATTAAAACAGCAGAGGGCGGCTGCAGCAGAAGATAAGGCCTTGGGGAGTCAGGAAGTTCATCCCAAAGACAGGAAGAACGGTGGCAGAGAGCCATCCAGCAGGGGCAACGACAGCACCAAGAGCACCAAGGACGCCAAGCAGGCCGCCAAAAAGGAGTTTGAGCAGGAAGAGTACTACCTGAAGGAGAAGTTTGACAGTGTCATCCAGGCCCTGGACCTGTTTAAAAATGACCCCCTGATTTTCAAGCCAGGTGACAGATGACGAATGTTCTATAAAATTGGGAAGGGTTGCTGGGTGAGACAGATAAACCATATCAAGTATCTTTAGGAAATGTGGCCGTTTTCACTATAAAATTCTCTTCCTTCTGATTCACACATGCTAATTCTGCCCAAGAAATGACATGTGTCTATGTGGTTATCTAGATATGTTTTTTTTTTCTTTTTTGGAACTGCTTATTGGTCTCTCTATCTTCTAAGAGAGGCACAGGGAGAAAGGCAGGTTATTTAAGTGTCTCAAAAAAGACCATGTATGGAATATTTCATTTAGGATATCCTTTCAAGAAAAGCTTTTTTTTAGAGAACAGCGCTCCTTGAGTCCAAAGGCTTCAAGTGGCAATTGTGCATATGCATTTTTCTTCAGCATTTCCTAAAATTACATTTTGCAACTTTAAGGGTCCTCATTTTCCTTCGCACAGTTTTCTGCAGCTGCAGTTATCAAAAATGGTAGTTACTGTGTGGGGCTGAAGCAGCGCGCTGTCTGTGTCTGCAGGCAGCTCTTTCCTGTACTCCACACACGCCTTCACTCTGCTCAGCGCGGTGGTGGAGAGGGCAGCAGGACGGCCCTTCCTGGATCACATGATGAAGATGTTCCGGGAGCTGGGCATGCTGAACACCGTGCCGGAGGAGAACGACCGCATTATATACAACCGATCGAGGTAACGGAGAGACCTGCAAAGTCAAATTTCAAAGCCTGCTGTTTAAAAAAAAAAAGTCTAAATTCTTGTGGTTTATTTTGCATGGTAAGGTTTGCTTTTTGTTGAAAATATTGCACTAATGCTGAGCACTAAGCATTCAGTGCCACACATGGTATTACATCTTTCAATTACAGCTTCAATTTCTCATTCCATTCATTTCTCACTCTAAGGTTTCCGATCACACCTGGTTTGATTTCACTACTTTGGCTTCTTATCCATAAGTTCATTTCTTTTAAAAATTAAAACTCCCAAAACCTGAACCACTGTCTATGACCAAAGGATTGTCTTCATTGAGATTCTGTCATGTTAGCGTTTATCATTTCAGTTTCCAGTCACTGGTATCTAGATGACTGAACTCTTTTAGCTGTTCTGCATCTAAACTCTAAAAGCTGTGACCCCAGGGAAACACATATGGTTAATTTGCAACTTATTTGAGATCATTTATATTTTTGTTTTTTAATATGTGCAGTCTCTTTGGGCTGACTCAGATGATCTGTTTTTGTTTATTACTTCACACTGTGTAGTGAATTGGGATGCCATCTGCATATGATTTGCATGGCACAAACTAAAATGTTGGACGTCAACAAACCCTAAAGATCTGCAATGCAAATAAAATTGCAACAGTGCTTTTTATAGTTTCACATTAAGGGAATATGTGCCTGTAAATTTTGGCAGCTGTTTACTATGCCATAATGTGGGAAAATGTCATGTTAATTGATTTCTGGGAAAACTGGCCCTGGTGTCAGTGTGTGCCCTGCGATGGACTGGCATCCTATCCAGGGTGGATCCTGTCTAGTGCCTGTTGCTCACCAGGATAGGCTCGGGCTCCCCTGCGACCATGGATTGGAAAAAGCAGTTCGAAAATCGATGGATACAAGAGTGGTGGTTAGCATAACAGCTGCAGGGTACTACAAGTTGATCCAATTCTGGTTCTCCATGTCGGGTCCATGTACTGTCTGTTTTTCTGTTGACTTTTGCCAGGGTGCTCTGGTTTCCTCCCATCATCCAGAGACATGCAAGTTATGTTTACGTCTTATGAGTTTGTCCCCCTGAGAAAAGCAGAGGGGTTCTACTCGTTGTTAGTGACTCAGGAGCAGAGCAGCTCTGGTATGTCACTCTCCCCTGTGACTGGTCCTGTTTTTGGGACGGCTCTAAGCAAGCAGGAGAGAAAGCGTTGAAAGGCTGATTAAGGAAACCCATGTGGATGAGTATTAGATCTCATTAACTTCTCATTAAATGAGAACATTACTTGTCTTTAAGTGGGAATCTAACACCATCTGTGTTTTTTTTTTCCCTCTTTGCAGGTTTTATCATTTCAACAAAAAAGGCCGCATTGTGAACTGCCCTTATGTGGACAACTCCTACAAATGGGCAGGGGGAGGGTTCCTGTCCACTGCTGGTGACTTGCTGGTGTTTGGCAACGCCATGCTTTACAGCTACCAAATGGCGCATGTTAAGGATGGCAGAGGCCTCCTGCCGGGCTACCTCAAGCCCGAAACGGCCAAAGCCATGTGGACCCCTGTGGATGGAACTGAAGGATCCTGGGATAAGGATGGGCAGTATGCAATGGGCTGGCTGGTGGTGGAGGAGCAGCAGCAGTTTGGACAGTGCAGGAAAAGGCGGCACTATGTTTCACACACAGGGGGAGCTGTAGGGGCCAGTAGTGTGTTGTTAGTCCTGCCCTGCAACCTGGCCCAGAGCGAGGGACAGACATTGGCTCCTCCACAGGGCATCGTGGTGACTATTATCAGTAACATGCAGTCTGCCGGTCTCAACAGCACTGCCCTGAAGATCGCTCTGCAGTTCGAGAAAGCCAGGAATGCTTGAGAGAGCACAGGAGGCTGTCTTTGTGCAGCTGGTGCACCAATCATTTTGAAGTAAAAATGCTCGTATTTGAGGTTTGAGGTCTTTTCTGTATTCGCAAGATTGGTATCTTTTGCAGTATTAAAGGAAGAAGAGGATTCAATTTTTAATGTCATTTTAAATACATCTAAAAACTGCTTTAACAGTGGAAAACACGTGGCTAAAAAAAAACATTTTATTGTTGAAAAGGCATTTTTTAAAACTTCAGCGTACCTTTATGTTTAATCTGTCCGAGTCTGATCCATTAAAAAAGTTTTTTGTCCACTGAATGTTCATGTCTTACACATGCTGGGATCACAGAAGAGTCTGAATCGATGTACAGTACAGAAGAATTAGGATAGCGCCACGGTTACTGCTGCCAGCTCACAGCTCCAGGGCGGTGGATTCAATTCTAGATTGGGGTCCCTTTTTTGTGGGGTTTGCATTCTCCCTTTGTTCTCGTGGGTACTTGCTCGGTGCTCCAGTTTCCTCTCGCCTGCCAAAGACATGCTGGGTAGGTCAATGGCATCTCTACATTGAACCCCCTGTGCTTGTGTGGATGCCCTGCGGCTGTCACCCTATAAAGAGTGTGCGTGTTTCTGGGACAGGCTCAGGGTGGATGTGACCCTCTCCAGGAATGCGTGGCTTTCTCTCAGTGAATAGGTGATCATTCCCATGTACAAAAACAGAGTAATGTCAGAATCTGCCTTCCCTACCTTGAATACTGACTCCCTCCTTGAAAAATTTAAGCTTCTCACGACAGTTCTGTAGTAACTCCTGACATACACTAAGTTCCTAAGGAATAGAAACCATGGACATGAAGTGTAGGACGATATTGTAGTTCTGCAAGTGCCTCTCCATGGTTATCTGCATGTGTTTTGAGTTGTGTACTGATTATAGACTGATTATAGATTATAGCAGTTTCCTTGTCAGGAATGTGACCGTAGTATGAAATAATGACGAAATACCATGTTTTATGTGTAAAACTTTGACAGTTGGGGCATTCGTTTAGGAATTAAATTGACATACAATTGAAATGTATTAAAATTATTTTTAAGAAAAAGCCACATTTTTCTGGCACTCAACTTTACATTTCTAGTGTATGTTATGAGTGCCTGAGACTTAACAGATTTTCACATATTTGTCTTTTGATTGTTCTTGTACATTAATACATCCAACGAAATATGAATCTATGAACCATTTTACCTTCACTTATGACATCAATGTACATTTGTGTAACAAATCTACTTTGACAGCAATGCACAGAACAGAGAAAGTTGATCTAATCTTTAAAGATAACATTTTGAATGAAATATATTTTAATTATTTTATTAGCACAACCCCAGCTCCCCATACATACTTACCAAGGCAAAAATGCTGTCAGTGCACCTGCAGAGGTAAGGGAAATGCTGACTACGGTACTGTGGGTATTGCATGAGATTTAAGCTATCATTTGGTCTACATGAGAGACCCGTGGACTATAACCTCCTGTGAGGTGATCATGTGAGATTAAGATAATGAACTCCAATATAAATTACCTACATAAAGTTTGTAAATTTCAGTGAAGGTATATTCCCTTTTGAATACTGATAATACCGTTGAGAAGGTTTTAACAGGGAGTAGGACTTCAGCAATATTTGTTTTGTACTCTAAAGTGATGACCACGGTTGTACACAGTAGTAAAATTACATCTCATTAGTGCACTGTACATTTATACGTGGTGTTCCTTGGTTTGAATGTAAAAATCTTAAATTTGAATTTGAATACGCAATTTCATTTTCGATCCAACGCTGTTTAGAACAAGTAAAATATTTAACATAATTATTTTTAATTTCCTTTGCAGCTTCTACAGTGTTTCTCGGTTTAATAATTTGAGAAATTGACCTGTCTACCACCTACAGTATATCTGGATCTAGATCCGTTAAAACTGCACTCCTGTTATCTTTGGGCAGAGCTGTGGAGGAGATAAAATAATGTACCACTAGGCGGCAGTAAAGAAATAAAACGGAATAAAAATGGAATTGTTCACTTCCGATTGATGGTGAGTTCAGGGGTCAACATTGTTCCCTGGGGTTGTTTTACACACTCGGAAGTGGAAGATGGATGCAAGTGGTGAATTTTCTATTTCAGCTCCAGAAAGTAAAGCTGGATATATACTTAGTAATGTGGCCGAGGTGGTGGAGAGGATTTTGACATTTGTACCGACCAAGTCACTTCTCCGTACCGCTTGGTAAGTTCAGATTCTCGTTTGCAGGACTTATTAACAGTCCCTGTAGACTTCCACTCAATGTTTTCTGCAGAACACGGAGCCTTGAGACAGCACATCGGCGATCTTGAGTTTTATTCATGAACCCGGCTATTTTTTTTAATCGAAAGATGTATGCATAAAGGAGATCAGAGAAAAGCTGCGTCTTGTGCTCTCTAAAGATGTAATGACTTAATTGTATTCAGAATCTCTTGTCTTGTTCATATCCTGTACTCGATCACGCTTGGGTTTTTGACTGCAGAGCCCTTTATATATGTAGTATGTTTGAGAGTTTCTTTGTATTTGTTTTTTTCGACATTTAAACGCAAAATACCAAGACGTCTTGCTTGTGAAAATGGGCATGTGATATATGTGATCTGGCACCGCAGGAAGTCTGCGGTTTCACTTACTTGCTGAAACATTGTAATCTGGTATTTTTGTATCTGCTTGGTACGCATTGATTAGCAGTACAGCGCATTGTCTTTACAAGCAAGCAAAAGGTTTGAAAAGACGTGATGTCTCATGCCTTTTAAGGAAAATCTGGTATTATAGATAAAAATTCCTGATGTACTCCAGCAATTGCATAATTCACCTTGAAAGTGAGCTGTTTTTACTCCCTTTCCTTGGTAACTGTAATCCTGAGGACAGTTGTCTCCTGTGATAGCTGTTTAACAGTAGAAAGCCGACCTATTTAGTGAGCATGATATTTTCACTACATCTTCCACCTTTGCTGCTTGAAAAGCACAAACAGGATTTCTCTTTAAATCCTTCAAAATCAAAAATGCTCTGGTAAACCAAATGCCTTTTGTTGTTGTTGCTGTGTTATAGAAGGACTTCTTTTGATATTTATTGTTTTGCCTTTGTGCTGCTGTCGGCTGTCCCGGTAGCGTCTGCAGACTCTGGAGGGACTGTGCCCGCAGGGTGCTGAGGACACAGCAGAAGATGACCTGGGTGTCCGGTACTGGCTCCTCCAGCTCGGATGGACATGTCTTGTTCAGGACTCTGGCAGAACAAGTAGAGGTAAGGGGACACTCCTCTGTGAGTGATCTCCATGGCTAGCTCTGTTTTCGCAGTCACCTCCGTCCTGCACTCTTTTTTATGAACTATTTCATAAACTATTTCCCATATTAGATCACATTAGCGTATAATGTCGAAGCAGGTGTTTGCAAGCAGTGTAGATTGGAAAACAATTGCTTTGAGCTTTAAAGTCCTTTATCTGGGTTTCAGTAAAGGAATATAAATGTGCTGTTTTGCAGAATGTGTACTTGCTCCCCCGGACAGTCCTCCTGATGGCAGACAGCGACACCTTGAACAGACCTGATGGCACCTACAAGCAGAAGAAAGGTAACAGACTGGCTCATGAGGAGTCCTGCTCTGCAAGTATAATTTAAAAGTCTTGGTTTCCCGAAGGTGCTTTGATGTGAGGTTTATAATTTTTAATTAATAATTGCTTACACATCTATAGCACTTTTTTGGACACTCCACTTAAAGCGCTGTACAGGTGATGGGGATCCCCTCCACCCTCACCAGTGTGCAGCTCCACCTGGATAATGCGACAGCAGCCATAGTGCACCAGTACTCTCCCCACACACCAGCTCTCAGTGGGGAGGAGCAGAGTGATGAAGCCACTTCATAGATGGGGATTATTAGGAGGCCATGATTGGTGAGGGCCAATGGGAAGTTTTTTAATGACCACAGAGAGTCGGGACCTCGGTTTTACTTCTCATCTGAAGGACGGCGCCTTTTTACAGTATAGTGTCCCTGTCACTAACCTGGGGCATTAGGACCCACACAGACCTCAGGGTGAGCACACCCTACACTCCCCATTAACACCTCTTCCAGCAGCAACCTTGGTTTTTCCCAGGAGGTCTCCTATCCAGGTACTGCCCAGGCTCACACCTGCTGAGCTTCAGTGGGCTCCCAGTCGTGAGTTGAAGGATGACATGGCTGCTGGCTGTTTGGGGTTGTCATACTATTTGAAGTGTGCTTGGCTAATGAAGTCATAGAACAAAATCTAAAATGATTTTGATGCCATTGGACTCAAAGTACGTCTCAGCCAGCAGAAGTGCTCAGTTGGAGCGCAGGTTGAGCACTGTGTGCCAGGATGGCATCATGTTTAAACCTGGTGACATGACCCGTGGAGGCATGGAGGCACACAACTGCCAGAGCAGGGCAGTGCCTGGATCCTCACGATTCCCAGTGCCTCCGCAGCTCCTGTGACCAGCTCGAGCCTGGCAGGCCTGCAGTGAGTCAATAAAAGAGCCGGCCCTCCCGGTCCTCCTGCACCAGGCCAGAAGCATGCGCCCATCAGAGGAGTGTGTCTCCAGACAGGAGGTGCTCCCCATGTGGACACAGGGTTTATTGCAAGAGAACTGCGCCTTAAAACAGGTGCTGATTCAAAAATAGGTAGGCACACAACAACAACAAAAAAAGTCAATGCAAAATTGAATTAAAAAAAAAGGACATTTTAAATACCCTTGAGCGAAATGTAAATGTAAAACAGACAATGGAGAAGTCATGGTAGATTTCTTCTGCTGTTTCACCTTAGCTGTAGTGTTGTGTGGACACAGACGTAATGTTGCATGAATAGCAGAACTCAGATTCATTAGAATATCCCACTGTTTCTGCAGGTTTAATTTTGTGGGCATACATAAATTACTCCACTGGCCGAAACTCTTTGAAAATGTGTATAATACGAAACCTAGGAATTATGTCTAATATTTCTGGTAATTAATATTGAGCGAGTCTCATTTAACATAATTTTATGTTATCAGATGATGTCTCTTAAATTTTCAATTTAAACTTTTTTTTTTTGTTTTTAGTGTATTGCGAACCGCGCTTACTCAGAGGAATGGCAGATTACTGCCATATGTGCTTGGGTTTTTATCCTAAAATTGATAAATGTCATCTTGAGGTAGTCTAAGAAATCTTTGCCACGTCATTTTTCTAATTAGCAGATAACATATTAGGTAAGATAATGCCTGCAAAGTAAAAACTTGAAGTTGGGCTTTTTCCGCCAGCGTTTCAATGTGTGACAGATCGAAACCTTCCTCTTGGCGTTGCTCGGGAAGTTCTGCCCTTGCTGTGGAGCAAAGCTTCTCACTGTGGCCCCTCACACTTCAGGCGCCGAGTGTTCACACTGACAGCATGCACCTTCTGTGGGCCTTGAAAGAATAATAAACCGCAGAGTCTGCAAGTACCACAGACAATTCTGAGGCCCAGTGATTTCTGTGCATGTTAGCAAATCTGCCATTTACTAATTAGTGTCAATGGTCAGTTTTTGTTTTAAAAGTACCTTCGTTTTTTTTTTCTTACACTAAGTGCTTTACCTTGTAAGTGAGACCAGCAGCTCATTATTTAGTAATGTAATGAGCATGAAACATTTTTATTCTCAAGTTCTGTTTCTCATGGGTCTTTTTTCCAAAAGTTTTCCAGAAGTGGAACAGAGGACATACTCTACTGCTCATCTCTTCAGTATTAAATGATTCCTTTCTCTTTTTACAACATTTCGGTAAGAGGTGTCAGGCACCCAGAGACATCACTCAGTCGGTGTCTGAAGACATCAGTGTCTTAATGTATTTTTACGACACTTTCATGCCACTTGGTGTTCTTCACAAATGGCAACCCAGTATGACTTCAGTATTGTAGGAAGACTCCATCTACTTTAAAATATTTTAAGAGGCTTCAATGTATTGAATGGTATTTATTTGGACTCTTTTATTTCCTTATAGCTGATAATGCTCACTTTTATAAAGAAGACAATTTGCTTTTTTGATATATTGTATGGATTTGGAGATGGGGTACAGTAAGTCTGTTGTTTCTGTGAATAATGCACAGATGTTTTGAAAAAAAAAATACTCACTTTGATAGCTTGGGCAAGATCACAGTGTCCGGCGCAGTCCTGAGCCTTTTTATGGGGATTTGTTTTGGAATGCGTTTGCTTAAAAACTGAGACATAAAACATGTACCTGAGACTCTTCCCCTTCACAGCAAGGAAGATGTGTTGTGCAGGAGCAGCCGCTGAGCTCAACAAGCTGTTTCCTAAAGGATGTGATGTGCTGGGTATTGCCGCTCCAGGGATTGTGTGTAAGGACCATCATTCCAGTACCTCTCTTACATCTGCTTTTCCTTCCTGCACTCTGATATACGTGTTGACGTCATCATGGTAGGATTGCTTTGGCAAAGGTCAATATGTACCCACTATAGGAGTTCCAATAAATTAGCCCACTGCTATTAAATCTTTTATCAGTCAGCTTAAACCTGACACATTTGAACCTCATGCATATATGAATGTGTATCTGTTTGTCACTCATACTCCTTTTTCTATTTTACATGTAATGGCAGTATGTGCAGAAGGCAAATAGAGCGGTTCTGTTCATATTATTTTTAAAAAGAGATGCAAAACAATTCTAAGATATCGTGCAGTGAATTTTTTTTTGCCTTTATTCTACATTGTTACCATAATGATGATAAAGCAGTCAAAGTTCAGGGGGCTTTATTCTCTGTTTTCTTGACAATTGTCTATTGCTCTTAACACTGATGCCCTGAGATTGGATGATTTAAAGTTTGAAGCGAATACCTTGACAGACTGAAGTACAGGCCAGTAGGTTTTTTGTTGCTGTGGGTCCAGTTGTTTTGAAAGTGCACTGTTGGCTGTAAATTAGAGTGGTGATGAATTGGCATAGTTTCATTACAGAGCGGTAAAGTTAGGCTCCAAACATGCAAGGAAGAAAATGAATTTTTATAGTACAAGTGAAGCAGGCAGTGTGTCACCATCTGTTGATATTGACTTGTGCTTTTATCTTTAAATTGGGGCCATATTATTATCTTCGACCCATGGTAAAATAGTGAGGCAAAATAGTATGCCTGATCTGAAAAAGATTATCTGGTCACACAGGGAAACTTAATAAAATATTGAACAACAGTTACATCAGGTGCATCTGAAAGACTGAAAATATCAGTCTAGCATTAGTGAAAATAATGTTTAGTTTTGAAAAGAAGAAACTTCCATAAGCAAGACCTTAAAGTTTTTTTGCATGCCATAAGTATCCAAGTCCGAATTAATTTGACTGAGCAATTAAACTAAAGATGGCAACGGGCAGCAATAAATTTCACATTTGGTTACTGAAGTAAAACTTGAGATTGATAGTTGTTTTCCCCTTTTTAAAAACCAGCGGATTATTGGTGTGTGAGAGGAGGCGTGAAGATGGGTAGAGAGAGACTAGATCAGAGGCGAGCAGACTGGAATTGATCCGTCTCCTTTCTCTGCCAGTGACTCCAATGGGGAGCAGCTCCAAGCACCCACAGGAGCACCAAGAAGGGGAAGCTGGCTTTGCTTTATTGTTCCCCAATATGGACGGAATAAAGATACGCCCCTTCCATTTCTGCAAGCAGAGTTTCAATACAGCCACCCTTGAGGAAGCAGGTGGGGATTTATTAACTCTTGTGTGTACTGTATGTATGTCAAGTCTTTTTGGTCTTTTCCAGCATGGTGTGTTTTTTAAAATAAATCGCACCTAGTGGTAGTCGCTTAAAATGTTAAGACCCGGAGAATCAGAGGTCCACTGAACATTTGTGCCTCTTCTAAAAAGTTACTGCTGGAAGAAAATCAGAAGAGGCTTGTGGAAAGTCATGGTTTATTTGATCACTGAGAAAAATGGTGTCGGTGTGTTAAGCTTGGAAAAGCCATCTATCTCAGCAGTAATATGATCTGTGTGTCGGGTTCGTTCATGAACTGCGAAGGTGCCTGTTTCTTACTTTAAGTGACCTGCCGGCGTCGCTGTGTTCTCTTCTGATTGTCACCTCCAGTTATTATCACATTAAATGGAGTGTTAGAGTAAATGAGGGCTAAATTGATATTGCTACACATGGGGAACAGACAGCGAGCAGAGCTAGTGGAAGCTGCTGCTGTCGTGTGACTCCTGTATGAGTGGGGAGAGGGCATGTCCGCCTGATGGCAGGGAATCAGCTGTTGCATTGCTTCGTTTGACCCCAGGACTCATTAACAACCCAGACTTGCGCGTTGTTCTCCTGTTCGGTTACGAGGCCTTCAAAGCAGGAGCTGCGCGTTTCCTCAATAATGTCCTCCAGCCCCTGGCACAAGCTAACGTGCTGATTGCAGGAGGCCATGTGGAGAACGTGTTCTCCCCGCCCACAGAATGGTGAGTGGCAATTCCTGTTTTTTGGTGTGCTTCCTTATTGGTGCTTTATTTCAATACAAGTAGTCTTGTGTTAAGAAATGCGAAAGGAATAAATGTAATGACAAGCCCATAAGGGAATGTGCCAAAACAATGTTCCATTGATATACACATTTCCTTATGAGTTTATCATTACACTTTATGAAGTGGTTCTTTCTTAATGGAGAGAAAAAGTAACGTCTGAGTTCAAGTGTACTTTTCTTGCTGGTAATCGGCACTGTTGGCACCAGCTCGGTTGTGACTGACTTCTTACACGCGAGGTTTTTTGTTAACAAAAGCCCGGCTTGTGATATCCATTTACATCCCTTTTTAACCATGCGTCAAGTGTCCAGAGAAGGTTAATCCAGCACTTTGCTTCAAAACCACAGTTCAAAGGGGGAAAAATAAGGCAGCCCACATATATAACGCAAACGCCTGTTGGAAAACGCAAAGCAAGGAGGGTTTGTGATCTGCAGGTCAGGTCGCAGGTAAGAGGTAGAGCCGTCATGGCCAGGTCAAGAGAATATCCCTCAGGCTGCCTTGTGCTCTGACCCCTCTGTGTGCCTGTTTCCTTTCCGGAAAGCTGCAATGAAGGCTCCTATGGCGTCGTGGGCCTGGCGCTGAGCGGGCAGAAGATCCAGGGGGCATCGGTTTTGCTGGATCAGGATGTGAGCAGCGAGAAATCGGCCGAGGCCGCGGTGCAGCGCCTGAAATCGGCCAGCATCCCCGAGAGGAACACGCTGGGCTTCATGTTCGCCTGCGTGGGCCGCGGCCTCAACTACTACAGCGGCAAGCGCAACGTGGAGGCCGACGCCTTCCGCAAGGTCTTCCCCAGCATCCCGCTCTTCGGCTTCTTCGGGAACGGCGAGATCGGTTGCGACCGCATTGTGACTGAAAACTACCTGCTGACCGACACGGACAACCTGCAGCACGGCTACACCACCGTGATGACGCTTGTGCATCTGGGGTAGCTGCGGCCGGGAGCCGTCTTTCGCAGGCTGTGGAGAAGAACCTTCACGAGGCTGTGTAAAGAAACGAAAAGAGAAGTTTAATCGTTCCAGCGCAAGACGTCTAGTTGACTTGAGTGTGTTGGGTTGAGTATACTTCATACAGGATAAATACGTCAGCTCACTGATACGACTGCATGATTATTCCGTAGGTTTCATGAAGCACTTTGCCGACACATTTCGAAGAACTTAGTTTAATAATTTGATTGTGTTTCTAGACAACGGCAAATGCAAAATGTAACAAATCTGTACCATTCCAGATAGTTTTACTCTAAAAGGTTTCATAATGTACCAAACTCAAATGGATAGGGCTGTAGCAAAGGGGGAATTTCTTCCTTGGAAGGTTCAGACTTTAGAAACGCGTCTGAACAAAGCTTTGAGCCTACGTGAGCAATAATTTCTGAGGGGAATTTTGCATTGCTTTATATGATTGAAAAGGATGATAAAAATAATTAATATGAACAAGGGAGAGAGCATAGATGTTTTGTAGTACTTTGGAGGGAACAATAGGTATTTTAATTAAATAAAAACAACCTGTTATATAACCGCACATGATTTGTCTTGCTTGTGATGTACAGCTCTGGTACTCCTTTTTCCAGGAGTGGTTTTTGTGGTAAAACATTTTAGAAAATGTCGATGGAAGAGAAAGCTGATTATTCCCGCTCTTTCATGTTTTTTTTTTCTGTATTTTTAACCATATATGGTAAGAAACCAAACATCATGATGAGTAAAAGATGAAGGGAAACTCTTTTCCTTTTCACTTACCTAGATAAATTCAGAATATTTGTTAAAGACAATAAAAAATACCAAAATATACTACAACAATTTATGTAAATTGTAGATCCCAATCATTATTTTTTGCTTCCTCAGAAATGACAGTTGTCCATACCTTTTACTCTTTTGTTCGTATTTACTGCTCTTTTGCGATATTACTCTTTCAGACTGTTTTTAAAAGCTGTCCGTGCAATATGTGTGCAGTGAGAATACACTTTTTCCTTTTCTTGGTTAACAGAGGCCATCTGATTGTATGTTGGGGTTCTGCGATTGAGGTTAGGGGGTACCAGTCGTTGTGAAGGTAGGTTCATTAAGGGAGGTGCAGCCTGCGAAACAGGCTGGGGCACTTGAAGAGGATTGGCGGCAGTGTAAATGTGTTTGAATCTAAATGTGTGGGCTGATTACTTACAGGCATTTACAGCAAATCAGGCAGGCAAGTGAAATAATTTGTTAGGAAGGGCCCTTTTGCAATGTGCCACTGTGTTTCATAGGTCTTTGGGGATTTAAAACTACCTAAACATCTGCAGCTAGCAAATGAACCTTTGAAGCATTTAGCCTTTGGTTGCAGTCCTGTAAAAGAATATATTATACATACTGGAAAAGGGAACATTCCTCTGGAAAGAAATATCTCTGCGAGGGACATCACATGGCATTAGTGGAAGACTAAGCGGTACTGAATTCCTGAAACGGCTTTGCATATTGTTGTAATTTTTTATCCAGGATTATTTTTTTCACAGTCCCGGGTTTGAGTCTGGCCTTCTTCTGTTCGGTTCCAATTCCGGGCATCTACCGAGAGGAGTCCGATATCCGAGATGATCTGGAAATCCCTGAGACCTGCTGGCCAGATTACTTGGGATTTTTAAATTGTCCCCAAGTGTGTCCCCGAGCTGGGGTGTGTCCTGGGACAGCTGTTTGGCTCTGACTCTGCACAACATCTCTATAGAAGTATTTTCTGTGTACATTTGTGCATTCTTCATATTGTAACCCTTTACAGTCGAAATATTTTTATTCAATTTTATTCATTCTCTTTGGAATGGAAATTGTAAAAAAAAAAACACAACAACTTGTATTTAACATCTAAAAGTAACAATTGGGTTAAGGACATGCCAACCGCTTGGGTTTTCTATAATTTGACTCTAAATTGCAAGGTTTTCAAATTCCTGATTAACTTCACTCATAGGTTTAGTACTGTAGTTTATTGAGTCCTTCATTACAACTTGCCTTTAGTCAGATCTTTCCCAAACTATCTGCTTGAAGACGAACAGCTTCTGCGAAGGGTTCTCTTTCAGGTGGAGCTTTCCTACGGAAGAGATTTTTTGGATTTGGTACAAATACTGTGTCAGATGTGTGTAGTCTAAGGTGGCAGTTTCTCTCAAAGTGAAAGAAAGATCAACATTTTCTCTAACTTGGCAGAAGATCAGTTAAGTCATGTTAGTTGTAGTAAAAATAATGAATGTGTTTTCAGTTTCAGGGAAGTGCTACTTTTATTTTGATGTATTTCTATAGACGCATTCACCATTCCTTCTAAATAAGTGTAACTGAATGGTGGTTTGAGTGTAGTTTAAACATTGAAACTCCTTTGGGTACATAGTACTTATCCCCTTCAAAATAGAATTGTAATATTTGTCCAGAAAGGACAGGACTAATTTTGATAGTAAAAGATTAAATTGTTGGAAAACCTTTTAAGCTTGCAATCTCAGAGTATGTGGAGAACTATGGTGTCTTGAGTACTTCTGTGTACACCTTGAAACACATGCAATTAACAGTTACTGTGGTGTGGTTGCATTTTAGTCAATCTGGTCTTAGTAAAGTGGATTGTAATAATTCAAGTTCTGCCTTTTGTATATTCTGAATTATTGTAATGTTCTTTTTGTGGTGGTCAATAATCCCTAATGTCTTTTTTAACATTGTGGCACTGTGTAGTTGGTTCTATGCCCGTGTTGGTTAAATAAAATGTTTGGGGTAATATCTGAGGTTGTGCATTATTCCTGTGTTTTCGCATTGCTTGGTGTGCTGCAGGTTTGCTCTGAAGTGTCGGCTTTTCATACACAGTTGAAAGACTCTTGTCTGCCTAACAAAATTTAAATTAACACACAAGGAAATAAGTAGTTGGTGCTTCAGAAAGAGTGTTTTTTTTTAAGTTGACAAGGTACTGTACCTACCTTAGTAATGAGATATGAGTGCTTTTAAAAGACAACACTACCCTTTGTTGAAAGTATTATTGTCCCACTGTGTATACTGCTGTTACTTCAGTAACAGATCCTTTTTTAAGAAAATTATTTTTAACACTAGCTGTCATCCCATCATCAGAATGAAACTCTCGTGCTGAAAGCTGATCGACTCATCTGTTGGCAACAGGCTCTGATTAGAATGAAGCAGGCTGAGGGAAGTTCAGTTTTTTTAATAGGAAAATCCATTGCCATATTTTTAAAAGGATCCAGAAATACAGTAAGGAAATGGTTTAGGGCCTTTTTTTCTTTTCAGAATGAGAAATTGTTTAGAAATTGGTGGTGGTGGAGAAGCATAGTTATTCATGGTTATTCAGCTCATGTAAGAATTTTTTAAAATACTTTTTGGCAAACATACATTCAAGAAATTTGTTGGGATTTAGGGGTTTAGAATTCTGTTTGCTCTATTTTTTCTTCTGAAATTCAGTGGCTTGTGGTAAATTTTGAAATGTAAAGCAACAGAGTATGCATCTGGCCAGAAAACAGTTTGATCAGCTGTACTCTGACATTAGGGTCTGTGATTTGCTTTACTAATGCCCATATCCTTTAAGAAGACCTCAGGATTTTGAACCACAGGGTTATTGCTGGGTCTGGCCTCCAGCGCATTGGCGAGTTAGAGAGAGGTCGCTTCATTCTTCTTGGGTAAAATAGTGTGACCAAACAGATCTCCGTATTATTTTATTTCTTTCCCAGCCAGCACAGGTTCTGTGGTGTTCGGCTTGATGTACTGTAATCAATACTGATGCCCTTGTTCTGTCTATGTGTCTTTCCCTGTGACAGGCCGGTGACTGCAGTTCTTCCTGTGTCTCTGGGAACTTGATTGGGGCTTTGCACAGGCAGGGGACACGGTTGTAACCTCAACTTATATCAGTCATGCCTAGTTAGCCATGTGGCTTTCCTGTCACACAGGACAAAGAACAGAATGAATAGCTGTCTTCCCACAGGAGTGGCTGCACTCTTCACTGATCAACCCATTCAATTTGCTCTTTAAAGAGACAATACTATTACTGCTGCTAAAGCAAATATTTGCTTTGTTGGAGATTGTATTTTTGTATTAATTTTCAGAAACTAGGTATAACTCTTGAGCTTTTTTTTTGCCAAAGCAGCATGGGTGAGGTGGATAGAAGCTCTCATCAACTGACTAGTTCTTCACAATTCCATCTGAGTGTGAACTTTAAATCTGGGCCAGAAATTATTCTGTAATGCCAGTCGAGACATTGAACTATAACTTTAACCCTGGTCCTTGAGAGCTACATCCAGCAGGTCTTTGATCACCCTTAGCAGTATAAATCACACTTATAACATCAGTTTGTGAAGACTTGGAACACATGAGTTTTGATCAATTGAACAAGTTCATTATTTCATTTAAGTCAGGAATTGATCAATAAAAGATCACCCATAATGCCTCTTGATTTGGCTGTTTGTGAACTCAAAGGATCAGGGAACCAATAGTTTGTTTTATTTTATGCAATAATAGCTTTAATTTTGAACTTCACATTTTATGTCCTAACCATACAAAAGTAAGAGAAGGCCTGTTTGTTTGAGCAGAAACATTTTAGTTAAAAACTGAGTGACTGCTCTATGCAGTGACTGTCTTTCAGGACATCTGCAGTGCAATCATAAGAACATATTGTAAATAATACAGATGGTCAAATTAAAATGTATTAGCAAAACACAATAAGTCTAATATCATTCAATGTCAAACAGTCCTAACAACTATCACTTAAATGAGAAACAAAAGCAGTGTCCTATTTTAAAAATAATGTGTTTTAACTAATAACAAATTTCTTTTTAGTCATGTGATGTTCATATTACATAAAAGTAGGATTCATCCATGGATTAATGGATGATAATGGAAAATTTGATAAAATGTTTAGTGATATTTTATATACAGTCTCAAAGGGAAACTCGCAAAAAGTAAAGGCTTTGTCATGTCATCTTCATTTCTTTTTCACAGATTCACTTACAGCTCAAGCCTCATAGTCAAAACACTGAGATATTTCAGGTACCTTGAATGCAGAAATACAACTAAACTGATACACTGTTTTTCAGCTGCCTTGTCTGCCATTACTGGAGAAGCAACAAGTTCATCATTTCCCTTTTAACTTAAGTATGAAACATTCAGTTTTCCTTATGCTGTGCTGTGTTACAGTACGTACTGTATGTTATATATATATATGAAGTTAAATCTAATTCCACATGCAGGTGACAGTCCCAAAATTTTAATAGTTTGCCATGGTTAGTACCACCGTTTCCAAATTTGTTTAATGTAATTTTATTTTAAAGGAAAGGATTTCCAGTACAGTGAACACAATCCTATCAACAGCTATTACCAAGTCATTTTTAATATCACTGCCTGAAAACTTTTTAAAAATACCTTTAGGCATAGTTGCAGGGCAACTATGGTGCTGCAGGTAGCTCATAAAATAGCAATTGAATTTTAAAATGAGAGGTTTACTGTTTTTTCTCTTTTTTTTCCTGTAACCCAGCAATGAACAGGTTTTACTGTGGTTGCTCTAGAAAGAAGTCGGCAAATGAGAAACTGCTGAGTCTCTCATGATGGGAAGATAAGGAAACAGAACCAGCACTTTCTTGGAACACATTCTGTTCCATCAGATATTGATCAGTATTGTTAAGGTTAGAACAAAGGCACTTCTTTAGACAGAGCAGAAAGGGTCAGCTACCCCAGCCATGTTGTAGATGACAATCCCCTGGCTTCTTTCAAAAAGAGATCCTTAGATCAATTAGCTACTAAGTACCAAACACAACAGGCTAGATGGACTGAGTGCCTTCTTCGGGTTTGTAACTTTTCTTATTTCAGTTCCCGGCTGATGGTTCCTTTGCAGTATTTTGCCGTTTGGATGAGATAATTGTCAGAACTCAAGCTGATGTGACTGGGATTTCATGAAGTCCTTGAATACGTATCCAGGGATTTTGGGAAGGCCCTAAATATTTCAATAAATATGCAAAATCCATTATTAAAAATTTAGCTCTTGAATTCATGTTCTTACAGTAACATAAAAAATAGAGATGATACATGACTGATCTCTTCCTGTGTGTAGATGAATTTTGTCAAAAGATGAATAATTAACGGAATTTCAGACATGGCTTCAGCTTTATTTTACAAATTAAACATATAAATAGTACTAAAAATGTATAAATAGATTTTTCAATGGGTGTGAAACAGTGACATACCTAAGTTACTTTTTAGAAGACTTAAATAGCTGCTGTCTGTGTGTTTTTTATGTACTTTTGAACACTAGAATATTATACATTTTTTATTGCCTTTACAAAGGAGGGCAGTTTTATGATTAAAAGTCTATTTTACACAAATTCACAATAATGTAATTGCTGAAGGCAACAAAATAGAGTCAGCAAAATAGCGATAAACAGAGCTTAGTCCCAAAGGGTGTACTTTGCAGTCTGAGCCCAGACACTGACTCCCTGCTGGGAAAACAGGGATCCACTGTAGTTATTCCCTGACCTCGGTAAGGTGTTAGTGTTTCATAGCGATCTCCATCAGTGAAGAGATGGGAATACCCATGTGCATTGCTCTACAGTAGCGTGGTCTTGTTTTAAAAATGTAAAGAAATAATTTAACGTCTCCTGCGATTCCCAGATTTCATGTTCACACTCTGTTGGCGTTTATCAGTCCATCACTCCTTGCGGTCCTGCTTTCTTCTTTCCTTCTGCGGATTCTGAAAGACACCCAATGATACCTCTGGATCCGAAATTCACTGGTCCTGGTCACCCTGACGGTTTGACCAATCTAACACCAGCGGCCAGTGAAAAATTAGACCGAAGGAATTTGGATCCAAATTAATGTCATTTATATAGCACTTTCCAGCCCAAATGTTTGTCACAGTGTTTTCTTGTTGGCAGTTTAAAACATTATTCAATTGGAGGATTTTGAAGAACCTGGTTTTAAAACCTTATCTTTGAATGTTTCTTGAGAGATTTGCTGACCTGCTTTTTCAGGTCATGGGTCATTGTTAATTCAAACCTGTACCTTATGTTTTCTTTATTATTTTGTTCAATAAAACATTCATGGGCTTTGTCCCATATGTTTGCCATGCCCTCCTGGTTATAAGCAGGGAGGCCTTATCGTAACATAAAAGAAACTGTGATCTCAGAAGGTTGGAGGGGCTTACCAGTCAGCTGTTGCACTTTTCTTCTATGTAAGGAAATTAAATTTAGAGTCTAATTTCAACTCCAGTTCTACACATTGAATTGTAGTATTTCATAAGAGTTCATATACCACCAGAGACGCCTTATTTAATTTATCTAGCAATAATAGTTTAGGAACTCCTCTGCCCGTCACTGCTGACACCTGGAGAATAATTGTCCATAATTACGCTGATTCCCCCTTCTCACTGAACTGCAGGCAGCTGGTCGATTTTGTGCTGACTGCTTCCGATATTTTGTGAAAGCTTGCTAAAAATGCCCTTTTTGTGTCTTGTAGGTGAGTGGGTTTTTATTCTGTACAGTGGAGATATTATCTATCTCAAGGTTTCATTACATTTTCAAAAGCAGTGAGCTGAGTGATAAATGTCAGACTAAACCGCAGGTGCTGAAAGACTCCCAGTTTTGTTTAAAAGTATATTTCTGTGGCCTTTTATGTACACTGTTCTGTCAGGCTTCAGGAGTTCATTTTGTATTAATTTATGACATATATAAGATACATCTAATTAACAATTGCAGGTTGAGTTAGAAAAACAATACATTTTTATTAGTATCT